AACAACCGGTAAGCTTATGAGCCAAGTGAGGAAAAAGAATGTCCGCTCCAAGGACAACTGGAGAAGAAGCAAGAAAGTAAATGAATTTATTTGTTTTCATGTTAATTGTCCTGCAGTAATTCGTTAGGGGGAGGAAGCTTTCTCTTTTCTTCTGGGTCCTTTTAGAGTAAGCGGAGACTAGCCTGGGGCGAGTAAGAGGAAGCATGTGAGGATGCCGAGCCTCAAATCGATGCTTTTAAACGATTCTTTCAGATTTCTGATGGTATTCCTAGGTTTTCATGACAAGGGAATCATATCAAACTCTTTCCCCAGTGCGACGAACATTTGTTTTTCTCGGTTCCAGGTGTACGCAACCACTAACCCCACGTAATGCGCATGCTCTCAGTTACGAATTTTCAAAATGGCAGACAAGCCAAAGAGGGAAATAAAAAAAAACAAAGCGATTTTGCAATGAATTCTCAACATACACCCTCGTTAGAAAGGCGAATCCACGGAATAAAGATACAAAACTGTATGATCGATATGATATTAAATCGATACCGAGGGCCCGTTTCCAACTTACTAAGAAGTGCATTTAATTGCCATCCGCCACGATCACTAGCTTTCTTGACAGCTTTCTGAAGACAGTTACTTTCTTTCTGAAGACTTCTGATATGCGGCTATTGATTATTACACCTCGTATACCCGATTGCTCAAACACTTTGTTTACGATTGTTGAAAGGACCGACTCATGGTTCTCCGTCTTCGTCTTTACATTGCTTCGAAATAGTATAGATTAGTAAGCTGAAACGAAAAATTAATCAGGGAAGTTTACGAAAAATCCAGCAAACAAGCTTAAAAAAGGCTTTTATTTAGACTTCATACTTCAACGAACTTCACAAATCTTACTTGTTTATCTTGTAAGTAAACGATTAACGGTTAATTCCCGAAGCGCTTTCTGAGTTTCCCGATCCCTCTCCTACTGCTTTCACGCTTACAAAACAGGAAAAAATCAAAAGGAGGAAGATACAGCTGTTTTGAAACGCCATTTGACGAGAGTAAATCTGCTTTTTGTCCGACACTTTACATATCAAAACAAAGGAAATTTGTTCCTATTTTTTATTCTGGCGGTACATTTTTAATTTGCGCCTGCGTAAAAGAGATATCGCCCGAGACCCTTCGCTCGGTCGTGTTTTGATCAAAAACGCCTTGTTAATTTCACGCAACCGCTCGGAGAAAAGGTAAAAATGACGAGGGAAAAACTTTACCTTCAAGTTAGAAAATTAGCGAAATAGAAAGCTACAATATCATGGTTTAATATTTCAGAGGTACGTTGAGCGCTTTTTCCGTAGAGAATTCGCACGATGGTAAAACATTCGAAAATTACACTCGATTTGAGTGGGGTGTTGAAGTGGGCGTGGTCACTACATTCATGTTAAGACTATTTGTACCCCATGAGTTTGATATGTATAGGTATTTAGTAGTTTTTTATGTACATATATGTGTTTTTAACCCTTTGAACCCTGGGAGTGACCAGTATTTAATTTCTCCTTACAATAATACCGCTGAGTCATTCATTGAGATAATGAGAATAAGACAAATGATCACCAACTTTAGAAGCTTTTATTGTTAAACAAATTCTCCTTGTCAGTACCAGAGGAATTGTACAGAGAAAAGTATGGAGAATATAGATACTGATGTTAGGGTGTAGATAGGTTTAAGTTTCAGATAATGCAAAATGATCAAATTCCTTCTGGCATTAATAACAAATCAGAAAGCACAACTCGTACACCAGTATTTTCAATAAGCGACCCTTTGTTTTGGCAAAAACCAGCTTTTTCTGACTTTATCTGATTTATTGGTTCTAAAAAGAACCGTTTGTTTGAAAGCTCGGCTGAGCTCAGCTACTCGTCGTCTTCGGCTTCGCTGTCTGTCTCGAACTCGTTGTCAATCCGCTCTTCTGTGTCTTCTGCTTCTTCTTCCTCGTCATCCCAAACCGCATCATCTTCAGTTCCATCGAGAGTTCTGCTGATGCCACAGGATTTTAACGATCTCGTTATCAACTCAACTGGGATCTCTCTCCATGCTCGATCGATCCACCACAACACCATCTCTTTACTGGGCGCTCGCTTCTTTCCGGAAGGCGTGTAGGTAAATGGGCCGTTAACCATCCGGGCTTCGTACTACGCACGGACCTTTGCTTTGAATGGTTTACTGATGCACTTATCCAGGGGCTGAAGAACTGGAGTGAGCCCACCGGGAATTACGGCGGTATATTGACCATGACTCTCCTTGTAACACATGAAGGGTTAAAGAAGCCAACCACATTAGATTTAATCCTAATAACATCAATGGAGATAACTGAATTGAAATTCCTTACGTGTGGATGCCTTACTATCAAGAAGCATGATAGCCGATAACAAAGTGAACCTACTAAGGGAACAACTTCCAGTTCTCAGAATAATAATGAGGATCAAAATGCACCAATGACAGCGCACCATAACCCACCAATAACATAAAACCAAGGTGTTACAAATAGCCACACAAAAACTTTCAACTTCCTTACCTGACGAAGTATAGCAGTAGAAACATTGCAATCAATGCACAATTGATTACGGCTTGACTCTTACATCTTGGGACAAATGATTAAATTTCAATTCTCAATAAAAACAAAACTTTCTATAACTTTCCATAGCATAGGTAATGATAAAACAGGGAGGATAAAAACGATTTAAGTAGAAAATTGTATTTGGTATTTTAGTCAGTGGGTCAGTGTCTTTAATAGGTGTATTTAGTGGTGCAAGAAAATTGATGGATTTAAATTATACGGATAATAGTGTTGTTGTTTTTTTTATTAACTGTCAAAGGGACACTCTTGTTTGACCTTGATTAGTAAATGATGGGTGGCTATGGTTTGAGCTCTTACCCAGGCTATAGTTATAAGGTAAAATATTTTGATAAATACAATGACATGTATGTGAGAAATATGACCTTTCACAAACCTTTTTAGGAAGGCTTCCTCTTGCACAACTAAATTACAGAGATGCCAATTCAAATCTGGAGATTTTTTTTTCAGACTAGCACCCCTCCCGACCGATTCGCCAATGCGGCCCCCTCCGGGTAATTTCAGTTTTGATTTGGACCCCTACAAGCAATTTCGCGGGAAAACGTGGATATATCTGTCAGGGTCTTCAATTGGTTGAATACTCATCCAATCAGACTCTCGCTTATATAAAGGAAGGGGACAGGGGAGCGGGAGCCCGGGAGAAGAGGGGACGGAAGAGGGCAGGAAGCGGGAGAACAGGGGGCGGGAAGCGGGATCTATATGAGGGTGGGAAGCGGGAGCAGAAATAAAGAAAGCAATAGTTTGTTCTTTATTACTTGGTATTATTCAGTCAAAAACACTCATCTAGCAAAGATTTTAAATTTCCATTTAACATATGGAGCTTAAATCTTAGCTTTTTGCGGGCAACTGATCCAAACTTCCTTTGATCCGGGAGTTTTGGTCACCCGTAGGGAAGAGCGAGAAATTGACTCTGTATAAGGGAGACACCCCGATAATCCGAGGGAGTTGGCATATATGAAATTAGAGGCATTTGATTTCCACAAAGACTTTCCTTTCAAGCTCCGACGCGACTGCGACAAAACACCATATACCCGTTTAAATTTTAAAATTGAGGTGGTCTGGTAACTACTATCATGGGGAAATGGCGCCTTTGCTAATTTTAGATTGTTTTGAAATTTTGCGCCACAATTTTCTCGTCGATCGGGCGATCCGTCAATTTTTAATTCTGAGGAGAGTTTTCCGTAGCTGAAATGTCGAGTTTGGAAGGAGCTTTTGCGCCAATTGCCGTCCAAAGGTATGCGACTCTCCCTCGGGGATCGATGTTTGACTTAGTTTGTAAGTTTCTCTGACACTCGGCAATTTGACTTCCACCCCCAATTCCTTTTGGTTAAGAAGTCGAGCTTTTGAACTGTAGAAAGAGAATATGGGAAGATTTCCGCATAGCTTTATACTTGGATAAAGAAAACAATAGCGAAAACAATAGATTGCCTTTAACACCACGGCTTTATCCAAGAATCATGAGTATGGAGTTTTTCGGAAATCTCCGACTTTCTTTCACACAATCCAAAAGGATCCGTGTCTCACAAGAATTAAGGATAACATGACATCGAAAGATTACTGCAGCAGTCATAGAGATGATGAATTCTTCAGTACCACTGTTGTATATCAAGGATGAGAAGTTTGACTTCGGAACCGCAAGCTTTTTCATCTAACGCTTCCGCTTGAAAGGCAGTCTATGACGGCTCGTGCCTTCTGTTGTATAGTTGTAGAGTATTGCAGTAATAAACCTAGTGTGGTTTAAAATGCAGAGGGTTAATGAAAAGCTCATGTGGATGTCAAACTTGTGACAAAAGGGAACTTAGAACAGAGTTTGTACCCAGGTCAATTGACAGGCTGGGGACAGGGAAGGAATTTAATAGATTAGGTACACTTATTAAATGTGCATCAAATTTATTTTACCTCAAAACTTCACATCTCGTCCACTTTGCATACCTGGCACTATGGATAATAATTACTTGTCTAGTACTTGAAACCTGAAGTCTGCATGCACTGGTTGTGTAAATTGAAACATGCCTCAAGAGCAAAACCCTTTGAGTATAATGATGGTAACTACTCTATGCATAAATAAATGCCATCATGCATTCACACATTCACAGTTCAGTTCTTCTAGATTCACACATACTACATTCGCAACCCATGGTGCCACACACAATTGGAATAATTCAAATGCTGAGTCAAATACAAGAAAAAATAATTTTCTGCCCTTACTATTGCACATAATTTATGTGCTTTATGTAAAGAACAAACTGAGATAGATAATTACTTTATTTATTCTGAATTTCAAGGGAACTGGCAGCTATTACAGAGGATATATTAAACCACCTGATAGATTTATCAGCACCCAACTGTCAGGGGGACTCAGGGTGCTATATCAAAAGCTTGAAGGAAAAAAACAAGGCTTGTGTAAGGAAGAAACTCTACTGCTCAGAGGGGCTACAATACCAAAAGGTTTAGTATGATTCTACAGTGCTGCCAAATTCACTGCCATTCTCCTAAGTTCTACTGAGTAAACAGGGAGATTCACTATCAGCTAACTCATCCACTGGGTGTATTATGGTACATATTACTTGTACAACTCTTTACACTTATTTGAAAGGAGGCAAACAATAAGAAAAGTATTTGAATTTGCAAATAAGTCAAACCTCTCAATAAAAAACTAGGAAAAAATCCTTTCCATTATGGGGGGAAATCAAGTGGGGTATTTTTCTTGAATACTGTACAGAAACCAGACAAGTCATATTTCAATCTAATCCCAAAGGATAAGTGGATGATAGATTTTTTATTTTTTGATTTTGATCATGAGGACAGTTGATTATTACTGCGCATCAGCCCATGACTCTGCAGCCTAGTTTTGATTTTCTTTATGTAAAAATCAACATGGGAGAACCAGAATGTGTACACAGACTAGCTGTGTTGACATTTTTATTTTATTTTTTTTCCTTTTTTGCTCCAGTACTAGCATCACAGACTGGCAAAGATGACAAATTCAAGCCTTGTTACCCAGGTAACTTCTCTGTTTCAGTTCAGTAGCTGCATCAATTACACTGAAGATTTGCAATCACTATATATAAAAGCATGTTTCTGTAAAGCTACTGTTATCTTGTGAATTCAAAATCTAAAACTAGTGGTTTTTAAGTATCTGTAGCTTGGACTAAAGAAATATGACACAAAAATAAATTGTTATGGCAAAATTTATCAAATGAATACATTTTTTTTTTCAATTTTAATTGCTATTGAAGGGGAATCATCACTCTTGATTTCAGCAGAGGTAAGGTATACAAAATGCACATACAGACTGGAAATTATGGTTTTTAATTACTGTAACTGTCTCTGGAAAATACCAGTACCTCCTGTTATACCTGTCAACTTTATACTTACATTTATATGAATTTTTTCCGAAAGTGTTGTAAAAAATCATTTTTGAAGAACCTATTAATTACTTTCAGCATATGGTTAAAAACTTGCCTCTTAACCCTTGAACTCCCAGAAGTGATCAAAAAGTAACTTCTCCCTTTAATATCTGTACATTATTTAGCAAACAGGTAATTAGATACTCAAACTGATCAGGAAGAAGTTGTTGTCTTGATTTAACACCAAATTCTAGTAATTAGTTTAATAGAAAAGATGCAGCAACTAGAGGGGAGAATTAACAATCTGATCTAAGGAGTTAAATGGGATAAGACATTCAAAGGTGTTTGAAATGCAATTCAGAGGTGTATCATATGTTTCAATAAAGATAACCTCTTCTATAGCTGCAAAGGCCCATATTCCTTCTAGAAACAGACCAAAACATTTGAAACCTAAGGGGCTGTGTTGCTTAATTCCAATCTCAGCTTCTATTACAGACAATGTTTCGTGATGGAACTTATTTTGTGATTGGATAAAAACTGTTCAGTTCACTCAGTATGGTTGTATATTCACCAGAGCTAACATTCATGTAATTTTCTTTGTAAAGGATACTTACCATTTTGAAAAGAAACAAGTTGCTATAAAGATAATGAATTTGGATTATTCCAGACTTGGAGCTTAGGTACACTGTATCTGTCTATAGAGTTTAATATGCATACAGCTGTAAGTGATAAGGTACATTTCAGACAAGCAAGCTACAAATGAATCTGTTATATACAGAGCTGAGAGTGCTACTGAAACTGCAACCACTGAAAAGAGCTTGTATGCAAGCATGTGTACCTTGACATGAGGTATACATTGTCAGTGGAAACTGTTCAAGATGAAGTGTATAATTATGTTCATGCAAAGATCTTTGGGCTGATTTCCTGCGAGGTAAATTAGATTAACTTACTATCTACTTTGTATTACATGAGTTTTTTTTTTATTTACAAAACTGTTGTAGGAGGCAGATTGCATTCAACAGCTCAGCAAGGCTGATCCTCTCCGTGTTTCCAGAACTGTCCAGTTGTTTGTAAGTCACGAATGTATGATCCTTTTTGAGTACTGAATCACATGAAACAAAATATCTGCATGTTGTTAAATTGGACTGATTTTATACAGTCACTGTAAGTATCACTCCACCTTTTTGATACCATATCAAAAATCATGAAAAGAGAAGAAACTGACCCTACTGAAGGACAAAAATGATGTAAACTCAATAGTATTAAACACCACCGGCCTTAACTGACAAGGAAATTCGACCAATGACCTTGGATTGAGAATGGTGAATGCTTTGCCTTTCATCCATCAACTTGACAGAGTGGTGCAAACTAGGTTTTTTGCATGTCAACACTTAGTTGGCAGTGAAAAAGTATTGTAATTTACTTGTATGCAGTTACAGCTTTTCTTGTAAAACACCGCAGTCTTAATATTATGATTTCCAATTGGTTCTTTGTTTTACAATAATTGTAACATAGCACTGATATATTTGGTACATGAGTGCAAGAATGTATTCTATGTAGAGGACCCAGTTCACTGACCTTGCATTTTTGCCAATTTGACATATTTGCTTGTGGATTTTTAGAATGTTTTCAGTTTTGAGGGCCATTACTGCTTGGTTTTTGAGCTGTTGAGACCTCGGCCACTCCATCAATACTTTCAGGTTGGTTAAATTATTAACAGTTTAATTTAGTATTATCAACTGAGTTGATAACGTAAATTGGCCTCTGTTAAGAGTTTCAAAGCTGATGTTTCAAGCATTAGCCCTCTGTCAAAGGGAATGGTGAAGGGCTAACATTCGAAATGTCAGCTTTGAAAATCTTAATGGTGGCTAATTTATGTTATCAATTCAGTTAATAATACCAAATTACCTTGTTATACTCTCCCACTGATACAGTGCTACGGTTTGCTTTAGAAATTTACTGGCTTTATTGAATTATAAACATGCTGTTAAGGAATCCAAGAGCTTTCCCTTTAAATCAATTACTCTGCTTTGTACTGTTGTATCTCTACTGATGTAAGTATTATATTTTAAATCATCTTCTTTACAGAAATGTCAGTTTGATAACGAGGTATGAGTGTTTAATGTATTACCATCTGTGCATTGTATGTTTTCATTGTTAAATTGATTGTCATCTTTGTGAACAACATGATTGATTTAATATACATATTTTTGGCAAGATCATCATCTAACCATGTACATTCTGTAATATCAGTCACTCAACAGTGTTTTCTTGATTTTGTTTACTAACAGGATGACAAACTGAAAGTCATCAGGAAAATAACTTTTCAAGTGAGCAAACCTTTTTTTAAATTCTTATAAATACTTTTGATTTAAGTTATTTCAAATACAATTGCATCAGTTTTCTTTTGTCAGCTATAAGAACTTACAAAGACCATTTTAAAGTTACCTTTCATGAAGATGAAACTTGTTGTGCGTCAAATGTATTGAAATCAAAATAATAGTTTTTTTTATATAATAAATTGATGTGGTTATTTGCTTGTAGCTCTTACAAGCTCTTGGATTCCTAAGGAGGTAAGATTATCAATAGGTGTTCTTCTTAGATTCTCTAAAATTACTCATCTGTACCCACAAGTGGCTTCATTTTATTTCATTGTTAAGGGACTCTTCTCTTGCCCATCTTTTGGTGATGCCACCATATTGTTCCAGGTTGGAAGTGGGATATTTATTCTGCATTTTGGCAAATAAAAGGGGATCTTTTCCAAAGGGGGGTGCTCATTTGAGAGGAGGGACTGATTTCATGATTTTATGTGCTTTTCACTCAACTTTCCATATGAATCCACAGACAGAATGTCATCCATGCTGACTTGAAACCAGAGAACATTCTTTTTGAAGAAGGTGAAGTGGTTTGTTTGCAACAAATTGTCAAAAAATTTGATTTAACTTAATGGACTTAAAAAGTGTTCCTTTTTAAAGAAAGTTGTAATATTTTGATCTGGTTAAATATAAATAACAGCTGTAGCATTTTGTAAGAAAAACAGACCAAAATTTTATACAGTTTCTGAAGATACACAATACAGTGCTCAATGAAAGACTAATTTGATGAATACTCAGAGTTCATATCAGCTACAATTATTTGCCTAACAAAAAATATCATGAATATATCATCCCATTTTTGTTTCTGTCATCATGTATATGTCATCATGATGGTGCCTGGATGCCTTGTATAGGGCCCCATGTCTTAGTTGCAAACATTTTGATGCATGGGAGCAGTAGGCTCGGAATTTATGGACTAAACCTTTTATGGACGTAGCCTTTTTTACATTGCTGACAGCCAACCTCCATTGAGAGATCTGGTTGTTAATACACTGTAATAAAACAACTTTTTTTGTATATGTAACAATTTTAGTCACAGACCTGACCTGGTGGATATTTACCTCACTGCTTCGCAGCTCAGTGAATATCCACCACTTTCACTGACACTGACAGAAGTGAATAAATTTGTTAGTATATACCACATAGATACCAAAAAATTAGTTTATTTCTTTCAATATACCCAAAACTGGTCAGAAATCAAACTCTTAACATGTGATTTTGTCGCATAGGCTGCATGGAGGTGAATAGTACTTGGTATTCACTAAATGGAACCTGAGCCAATCAGCACATGCAAAAAGCACTATTTACATGTTTGGTGTGTACTAAAATTGTATATTATATTAACACACTGTAGGTGATGAAACCAAGATAAAAGTTGTTGACTTTGGAAATGCAATTCATTTATAGAGAGGTACATGTGATTTCTATTATTTGGTAGCTTTAGTGACTTAATATTAAATGTGTGCAGCTAGATGCATCAGAATTGTTGTACTGTAGACTTTATGAACCCTGTACACCCTAACATCAATATGCATATTCTCTATACTGCTCTCCTACATTTGCTGAAGCACTGACAAGGAGAATTTCTTTAAAATCAAGAGCTTTATAACTTGGTGATCATTTCCTTGATTCCTGTGACTTTAATGTTTGATTTAAGGGTGATAATGTAAGGAGAAATTAGAAGCTGATCAGTCTTAGAGGTTAAAGGGTTAAAAGATCCTATTCAAAGTATAATGAAAGGCAAATTCTGTACAGAGGACAAGGGCTCATACCAGCTGTGAAAAACTGTTTACAGAGTATTGTGTACTATGTGCTTACCCCTTTAACATGTAACTTCTCCCAGGAATATCCATACTTTATCCAGCAAATAGTTAATGAGAATACACAAACTTATCAGGTAGAAGTTCTTAGGTTGATCAAGTATCAGATTCTCATAAGTAATTTATAAGAAAATGTGGGGCAGCTAAAAGGGAGAAGCTACAGCCATTTTGATCGCCATGGCAAGTGAAAATATATTTGGTGACTAAAATGATGGCAAAAGTCACCAAATGGTGACTAACAGATAAAAAAAAAAAAAAAAAAAGATGTATTATGATGAGTTTGAACTACAAACTTTACTTTACAGAGCTCCTGAGGTAAAGTAAAGATATTGCTGTTTTCATGAATTAGAAGACAAAATTAATTTTACATGTAGGTTACATGCATGCAACTCCAGTGCTTTCCTAATCAATCCAAGGGAAATAAAGCAAGATTAAACTATTTTATTTGGACTTGCATGAACTGAAGTACTCTATGAAAGATGATCAGTGAAGTTCTGCAGTTTTGTGTTTCATAAAATAACTTAATGTGGTTGACCTGTTGCAGATGGAAAATTCTGTTCTGTGGTGACTATCATCTCAAGCAATGTATCAGAAAACATATTTCAACTCACACAACTATTTTACCATGATTGTATGTCAGGTGCAAATGTATGGGGGATGTAAATATTAGGGCTGTTTTTAAGTGTTTGTTGGACGCTTGAATTTTAAAGTTCAGTCTGTGGAAGAAGGTCCCACTAAATGTTGTTTAATGCAATGAGGTACAGTGTCCTCCACTTGATAATGTTGATGGCAGTCAGTTGAAACTGAAAACACTGTGTCAATTCTTTCCAGGTGATGTTTGGTGTTCCCTTTGGCCCTGAGATTGACATTTGGTCTTTGGGATGCATTGTAGCTGAGGTTGGTTAATTGACTTGTATGTTCTCGCCATAATTAAAATATCTTTAATGATTATTATACCATCAGTCAGAGCCAATAACAGATGATGCTTGACAGTTTTATGATGGATATTTCTCTGTAAGGAGGGAGGAGAACTCACCCAGCCATTAATGTTACTGGTGAGGAAATGAAATAATGTCCTTTTAATATGAACATTGGTTTCAGTTGTATATAGGCAAACCTTTATTTCTGGGAGGAAATAGGACTAAAGTGTTGCAAGAGGTATGTTTTTGCTATTTTTTTTTATTATTGGCACTTATACAAGCTGTTTATGATCTAAGGTAACTAATACACTAATAAGAATGCAGTAACTGCCTTTCTGGCTACACTTTATTTAGACTTCCTCTACTTTGGGAAAGTGTGAATCCAAACAAAATTGCAATTAGCTTGCAATTCTTGACCTTCTGGTTACTGTACTTTGTAAGTTCAATCATTTTTTTTCCAATTCTTTTTCATGCTTGGTTGCAGGTAACCAGTATTCTTGGTCCCATACCTTGGAGACCATTCCATACTGGAAAATATTTTGAAGATTTGTCACAGTTTATAGGTGACCACAACTCAGGTAAATTCAATTTTAAGATGATTCAAATGTAATCAAGTTATCTCAAACTTTTTTGGTAATCCTTATCTAGTCCTCAACATCAGGTGCACAACTTAAATAAACAATTGATTTAACCCTTTAACTCCTAAGAGTGACTAACATCCAATTTCTCCACACAACATCATCCCTGAATCAAACATCAAGGTCATGAGAATAAAGCAGATGATCACCAAAGAAGCTCTTGATTGTTGTACAAATTCTCCTTGTCAGAGCCTTAGGAAATGTCTAGGGAGTAGTATGGAGAATATGCATACTGATGTTATGGAGTAAAGGGTTAAGATACTATAGCAAAATAGCAAAAGACGACTTATCCTTTGTATGAGGGAGGAACCAGTGGAAAGAGAGCGATGCTTAGAGGTGGTTCAAGTGAAAATTAAAAATAATTCATACGTGGGAAAAGATTTTCTGAAAAAAAAAACATCATGCACAATGAGATGTCCAGGAAAAAAAGTATCCTTTCATTCACCTTTCCAACTATTATTTCTGCTCCCAAAAAATGAATCAACAAAAACGTCCATAAATACAATAAATTTTCACGGGAAAAAAATCCCACATAGAAAATACTGTAGGAATCAACACATGTAGGCTCTTTACTCACTTAAGACTTTTTTTCATTGCTTTTAGAGGACAATCACCCGAAATGTGTGAGTAATGTGATGCTAAAACTCCATAATTCAAGAAATTTCTCTTTTGCACGTTTCTTAGTTGGCTTGCTGAAGTATAAACCAGGTAAGTATACGGAATTATCATTATGATAGTTTGTGTAACTTTTACTTGAAACACTTTGTTTGTTACAGTCGTTATCCTGCAAAACAATGCCAAACGCACTGACACGTGAAAAACAAAAAACCAACCTTTGTTCTTTGCTTTGTATCACGATCTCAGGTGAAAGACTTACACCTTATCAAGCTGCTGCGCATCCATTTTTGGCGTCAGAGTGTTCCTTTGCAAATTTATTGCCTCAACAACGAGATAAGAAAACAGGTTTGTTCTTGCCTTCCATTGAACTGCATAAATGCAAATTGGCCCTATGCCGTCGCCATGAAACGAACTTCTGACAAAGAAATTTACCTTTCACATAGGAATCACCTTTTTTACAGTTTCTCAGACTTCGTCGTTTATGTAGTGACGACTCTGATTTTTCTGAAAAATCAGAGGCAACGTGTTAGTTTTTTGATAAACGTGGCTATCCTGTTTCTGTCGTTCAAGCGGGCCACCGCCGTGCCCAACAAATTGATCGACATTCAGCACTACAAACGGTTCAGAAGGAAAATGCCGATCGCATTCCATTCACTCTCACATTTCACCCTCACAACCACGCAGTTGAATCTATCATTCTTAAAAACTTTCAATTACTTCAAAACGATTCAGAGACTGGTACGATCTTTTCGCAACCTCCACTAATTTCATTCAAACGTGACAGAAACATAGGCAACTTTTTGATCAGAAGTTCATTTCAAACCAGTGACTAACCTGGAACTTTTAAATGCGCTCGCTCACGATGCAAAACTTGAATGAAGCAAGACTTGTTTTCATCCGACATCCCCCTGGAAGGTGTAGGGCAGTTAATTTCAAGTTTGATTAAGGTATTGGGAAACCTTTATCAATCAGAATATAATAAAATACCTCTGTTACGTTATTTCCAGATGCTGGAAGCTGCGCAGACATTTCGTTTCCTACTGAGTATAACTTCAAACCATACGTTGACGAGGAAGTCAAAAGGCAGCATTTTTCTGAAACTGAACTCTTAAAGAAGGGAACTACTGTAACTGCTTCTTCACCAAAACACTTTCAGAGCAAACGGGAGAATGCAGAATCTCTGAGGACTGGAAATTTACATTGTTCTCAAAGAGAAAAGGTGACAATTAATGAGAAATCTCGTCGGGAAGACCAGTGCTTCTAGAAAATTTCAGTTATGCCATGGAAGGTCCTCTTGCCACAGGATACCCTAAATCAACTCACCAACAGAACGAGACGTGTGCCGTTTTTAAAGGAAATGCATGCACTGATGATATTGAAGAAGAACGTAAACAAGTCTCGGACAGGCTCACGTCTACTCTCCTGACTCCGACAAATCTTTCTTTGGGAAAAATTTCAGAAAAAAAAGAAAAGTGTAATGAGAAGGATTATTTGCCAGCAGGAACTAATATTACTTGTCCTACTAATGAGTTCGAAAGACCTTCGGCGAGATTCGTGTACAACAAAAGCTCCTGTTTTAAGCGCAAAAGTGATGTTTTTAACGACACTCATGTAGAAGACGGAAGCCTCCAAAAGTCTCACGAACTTTCTTTATTTGGGGTTAAGAACTTTGGAAGCACAAACTTACTTGAGCATCACAACAGATTTAATATTGCTGGAAAACTAGGATTTGATGTGGGCAACTCTTCCTCAGGTGGAGAAACAAATGCTGCCGCAAGAACTCGTGTCTATCATAGGAAAACAAAATCTAGCAAAGTAGAGATTGGGTATACTAAACATGACAGTGTCGCTGCAGTCCAAATGGAGGTACATGTAAATGAATCTCCTTGTTGGGCGGCAAAAGCAATTGTAACAGATGTGAATCTTCAAGCGAAGTTTAGAGTGGGAAAGGTTCATGACGCATATTCGCATTTTGTGGGTGCTTTTTTCTAAATGCACGTGCGTTTATTTGGAAGCGATTTCCGGTTAATGTCCATACTCCTTAATTTAATAGTTGATCGACTTTTTCATGTTCAATCAATGACATGTAGCTAGGTTGTGGAGACCAGTCAATCAGTTAGGCAGGCAGGAAGGCAGTTGATCTACATTTTCATGTATCAACCAATCACATTTAGCTTGTTTGTGGAGACCAGTTAGTCAGTAGTTCAGTCAGTCAGGCAAACAGGCAGGCACGCAGCTGGCCAGGCAGTAAATTTTTGGGCTTGACAGTCTGGCAAGCAGTCAACTGGTTAGCCAGTTGTTCAGTGCTTCACTCACGCAGGTATGTGTGAATTTGATAGTCAGACAGACAATGTGTCAGCTATTCACTAAGTCAGTCAATCAATTAGTTTTTCATTTAAACAGCCTGAAAGGCAGGCATCCAGCAAACAAATCAATCAGTCAGTAAATCGTCCAGCCACATGTAGTGTGCCAGATGGTTACTCGGCTGGTCAGTTGGCTCTCAAGGCACGCCTCCATCAACGAAAAGAAAAATCACCACGATGCTGGAATATTGATCAATCATAACTTAACAATCAGTTAGTCAGCGAGTGAGTCGGTCGGTCTCCTGGTCATTCAGTCAGTCAATGACTCAATCAGGCTGGCAGTCGGTCAGGTGGTCTTTCATTCAATCAGTTTGTCAATCAGCTTGTCAGCAAGTTGTCTTAATCTCTTGGTTTTACCAAACAGGAATCAGAAGAACAAGTAAACAAGGACTCTGGAAAAGCCGCATTCTCTGGAGCATATCAGAATGATGTGAGTATTAACTTTTTTTTAATGGGAATAAAAATTTAGCCGATTCTCTTCTCTCTGTTGGTTCGAAATGTCAGCTTTGAAACTCTTTACGATAGTCAATTTACGTTATCAACTCAGTTGATAATTCTAAATTACTTCGTGGCTGTAGTTTACTTGTAGCTAGGGGTAAAGAGGTTATATTTTCAACATTTTTGGCTTATTTCATTCCTTTTGCCTCAAGAAACAAGGCAACTAATCTTTCCTACCCTCAATAAAGTCTGGCTCCTTATAATCTTTCAGATCATCTCAGTTTCCCGAGTGACTATGACATAATTACAATTAAGGCATTGAGAACATCGTCATTATAGAAAACCAACATCTCCTGCAACTCTTAGGCGATTGAAAATATTGAGACATATTGTTTCTTTCGATCGCCATATAACTGAATTTTGAAATAACTTTTTTTAATGCGTTTTCTCTTCTCTTGTTTGTTTTTTAATCGTTTTATTTTGTATTTTATCATAGGAGGTGATGTTACTTGGCGAGAATGGACAAAGCAATTTCTGATATTTTTAGCTTTGTATTTTGATACCTGTGAGAGTACAAAAATGTAGTAAAAGATTTAGAGTGACTTTGTGGATTTTGTGGTGAAGTTCTTCATTACGTCATGTGCTATTGAGCTCTTAATTCAAATGTATGTGAAATAATCGTCTAACTATGCGCAGATCAATCGTCACGGCATTAATTACTTGCAGAACCTTACGGTGGCGTGTTAAAGGATTCGCTTTCCATTGAGGAAAGGGACAAAGTGAAAGGAATTGGGATGAAGACCAGCAAATATGTTTTTCTATGGTCAAAAGACAGCGGTCGTTCATTCCTTTCTTATGCTCCATCGCAAGAACTACATTTCTGTTCTTTATAACAGTTGCTGCAACTTTTTCCTTTGTCTTCCAAACCGAGAACACCAGTCAGAAAATTAGACGATAGGGTTTCTGGTATCAAATGGTGTTTTTCCGAAATGAAACTACGAAGCACATCAAAAACGACTAACATAATGCTAAGTACGTCAAAATACTGATCTACATGTACCCGACTTGACATTAGTTATAATACATTACGATTATGTCGCTCCTTACGAAGTTCTACTGAAAACAGATTGTAGGAAAGATCATTAACTCGTGGTTTTGGTTTTCAGCGATAAAACAAATATTTCACAATTTTCTGTTTTTCTCAGGTTCAATGTTCTATAGCCCATGCCCTCCTAAGTTGGCTAGCTATTTCTCATTTTCATCTTTAAATAACACTCTACAGAGGGCCGTAACTTTTCCTAGCTTCTCACACATTTCTCCACTTTGTTACAAGTGATCACGCTCTGATTCAATTGGAGCATGAATTGCCTCAGAGATGCACTCGACTCTCACAAAAATTAGACGCAGAATTTTTTTCGAGGACTTGATACACAACGTCATGAACCCTCAAATGGGCTTCATCTGGCAAAGTATGAGTACCCAAAGGCTGTTCCTGACCGTGGGGGTGTGCAACATGACTTTTATTTGGGGGTCTATATAAAAAAAAATTCTTCATTCACTGAGGAACATACTTGATTACCATTGTCGGGCTTTCGTAAAGGGGGAGGGAAGGGGAGCGTTGTGCTCCATTGTGTATGTGGTAAGGGAATTGGATGGAGAAGGATCTCGTGGCCTTAACGCATACACTTTAGTAGAGCTTACATGGATGGTCTTTGAAGCAGGTTCTGAACTTAAATTGGTTACTGATGGGGTCGTAACCGTCACCACTTTTGTTGTTTTTGTTGATACTGATGCAGGCGTGGGCGAGGTGACGTTTGCACCCTCAGTATAAACGGTAAAACACAACGTTAAAGCCTGAAAGAAGGAGAGAGGTCTTGTGGCTCCGTTCAAAGAGACCCCCTCTGCGTATGAGGTCCTAGGCTGATACTATTCAGTGAAATTACAAACAAAAACTTCCACAAGACAATACATAGTTCAACTCTTAACAATATAAACAACAAAGCTTTCACACTCGTGGCAAATTACTCAATAGTAACCCACTAGAAGCCTGTTATGTGAGGCGTGAGTAGTCCAGTGGTCAGTGTGCTGGACTCTGGGTCCGACGGCCCGGGTTCAAGTCCTGGCTGGGGCATGACGTTGTGTCCTTAAGCAAGACGCTTTACTCACATTGCTTCGTCTTCTCGGATAGGACGTAAAACCGTAGGCCCCGTCTCCTGCAGGGTTGGGGTAGGAGACGTTAATTTCCCACGCACGAGATTACTGTGTGGTGGATGTCCTCCCCTGGGGTGGGATGGGTGGAAGAGACACTAATTGTAAAGTGCCTTTGATCATATAAAATGTTAATTGTTATAAATGAATTGTAAAGCGCTATTG